GTTTTTTTTTTCCAATTTTGACTCGTGTAAATATTGGTAAAAAAAAAATAATAAAATAGTTCCGCTAATTTTAAAATGGATTTAGTTTTTTTGGAAAAAAATAAGGTAAAACAGGTAAAATCGAACCAACCGATCGGAAATTTTGACATTTCTTTGTCAATCGCAGAATAATTACTCATTACTAGTACCACTAGTTTCATTACAGTAACAAGTGGAGAATATGGCCACGACAAGGTTTGAGAGCGAGTGGTGGAAACTACCAAAGAGCCCAGAGCCGCCAGACACAACTTATTTTCTAAAGGACAAAATATGTGGGATTGAGTAGCACTCTCTGAGGTAGCACTTATATGTACAGTGGGAATCATTGCAATTGGCACACACTCTTTAAAATCCCTCGTATTAAGTCAAAATTCTAACCAATAAATCTATTTAGTGCAGCATTTTGCTATTACTGGTGTGTCAGATCTGACACATTACGAGGGATGTTTATATAGTGTGTGCCAATTGCAATGATTCCCACTGTACTATAAACGTATGAATACCCGCTAAGTTGGGTAGACGGCCAATTTATCGAAACCAGGTGCCAAACGTGAGAAAAAATGAGACTCACTTAACTTAATTTTTAATGGTTAATTTTTATATATGTTTTATATAACATTAGTACAAACCAATATTTAACACTGCCAGACACCTCTGGGCCCGTATTCTCGTAAACGGGGAACAGCGTTCTATCAAGAGAACGATTGCTCTGTCTTTGTCAGTAATATGAAAATTACAATATGGGTGACTAAGACGAACAATCGTTCTCTTGAGAGAACGCTGTACCCCGGTGACGAGAATACGGGCCCTGGTCGGCCAGAGCTTCCGCCAGACGCTTTAAAGCTTTGTTTATCCTTCAAGATTCAAGAATGAACAAATCCGATTCTTTTGTATGGCAATATTTTGATAAATATGAAGCTCAAAGTGGGTTTGCTTCATGTTATAAGTGCCGGAAAAAATACAAGACTATAGTGGCAATACATCTAATCTAGGGATCATTTGAAAAGATCTTTATATACAGGGTGTCCCACCGGGAATCATATCGATCTATATGTGGAAAACTGTATGCAAAAAGATTTTGAAAATTTGACAGTAGGTATACTAATCTAATGTCACCATCATTTGACACCTCCGGTTAAATTCAAAGTTGGTGTCAAATGATATTTTATGAAAATCTAAGACAGGAATGTAAAATCGGTTTTCGGCTAAAATTAACCGTTTAGGTTTTACAGCCGTCAAAGTTGCAAAAAGTAAATTTTCGATTGTCAATATTTCCAAAACAGTTGAACTTAGGTATATGGTATATCACATGAAATCTGCTCAGAGTTTTACGTAGAATCCAAATATGCAATCATATACAGGGTGTCTCATTTAAAATAAGCAAGTTGACGGTACAACCGGAAGTGCCACCATCTCGAAAATATTTTAGCCGGGTTGTCCTCATTGACATTAGTATAATGTCAAATTTACAAAAATTTTCTGCAAACAGTTTTTCACATATAGATCGATGTGGCTCCCGGTGGGATACCCTGTATATATTTTTTTAAACTATCGATAGTTTATCGATAGTTCGATAGCGCGTAGTGGCACTATCGAAAGTATCGATAGTCGAATTTTTGCTCACCTCTAGCCCTAGCCTGGAGTAGACTGTAATCTTAAGAGGAGGAAATCACTTGACATGCATAGATATCTCGCTCACTCTCAAACGCATGCAGAGTACCCTCGCGCTCACACTCAGAGAAAAATTATTATTGCGTCTGGGGGGATGTTTGGCCGGTGCGATTGGTCTGGCTGATCACACGTAATTATGAAACAGTCTTACCAATAACATATGGAAAAATCAAGCATTAGAAAAAAAGTTAAATTGAATTATATTTTTTTTGCGAGCTTTAAAGCGTCTGGCGGAAGCTCTGGCCGACCATATACCTAAGTTCAACTGTTTTGGAAATATTGACAGTCGAAAATTGACTTTTTGCAACTTTGACGGCTGTAAAACCTAAACGGTTAATTTTAGCCGAAAACCGATTTTACATTCCTATCTTAGATTTTCATAAAATATCATTTGAGCACCAACTTTGAATTTAACCGGAGGTGTCAAATGATGGTGACATTAGATTAGTATACTGTCAAATTTTCAAAATCTTTTTGCATACAGTTTTCCACATATACATCGATATGATTCCCGGTGGGACAACCTGTATATAAAGATCTTTTCAAATGATCCCTAGATTATGTGTATTGCCACTATAGTCTTGTATTTCTTCCGGCACTTATAACATGAAGCAAACCCACTTTGAGCTTCATATTTATCAAAATATTGCCATACAAAAGAATCGGATTTGTGCATTCTTGAATCTTGAAGGACAAACAAAGCTTTAAAGCGTCTGGCGGAAGCTCTGGCCGACCAGAGGTGTCTGGCAGTGTTAAATATTGGTTTGTACTAATTTTATATAAAACATATATAAAAATTAACTATTAGAAATTAAGTTAGGTTAGTCTTATTTTTTCTCACCTTTCGCACCTGGGGCCCAATTCTTGAAAAATATCGCATTCGAAATTTGAAATGATTTCGAACGCTTCCCATTTAATTTACATTGCTGTCAGTCAAATTCGAATCAAGTTTCGTATGCCAAATTTTTCAAGAATAGACCTACTGGTGTCGATAAATTGGCCGTATACCCAACTTAGCGGGTAATCATACGTTCATAGTACATATCATATAAGTGCTACTCAATCCCACATATTCTGTCCTTTAGAAAATAAGTTGTGTCTGGCGACTCTGGGCTCTTGGACAAATTAGAGACATCCTATATGGCCGTTTTGGAAGAAGAAGATTAGTTTTGGCTATGTACAAAGAACTTTCAAGAACGGTTTAAGTTTCAACCATTTTGGATTCGTCCAGTACAACATCTGATCAGCTGAATAGGAAGAACCGAAAAAAAAGAAACGCGTTTTTTTGTTGTTGAACATTGATCCTGACATTCAAAAATATTCTTTGGACAATAGTATATTATAATGATTTAAAGTGTATAATTTTTTTTACAAGCCATATTTGTATTTGCTAGACGGAGCGCGGCGTAGCCGAGCGAATGCAAAATTGCCAGGAAGGAAAAAAATGAGCTCTTACCCCGTATGATATATAGGTACTATTTTTTTCCCGAACCAAGACAAATAAGGTTTCACCTTATTTTTTCTGAAAAAAATATTTTATTTTATTTTTTAAATACCATGTTAAAATTAGCGGAATTATTATTACTTTCAACAATATTTACTTAAAAATATGCGACGAGTCCAAATATGAAGCAAACAATAGGGCTTTCCATTGAAAAACATAAAAGTTTGTCTCACAAATATTTTGGTTCAACTCGAATCGTTTTCTAAATTGCATTACTAGATTCTATCTATACACGCTAAAAAAATACATCAAATAAATATTTTGTGTGTTCTCAAAAATACAGGTAAAGTCAAAAATGTACCCCTGTTTAGTTCTTGGTGGATGGCCCAAATTTGCGGTAAATGGAAAAACCTAATTAACTTTTAAAACTAACAAACAAAACAGTAATTAATGAGTACTCACCTTGCAGAAATTATTTATTCAAATTTTAAACGGGTTAGATGATTGAAATGTAAACGAAACTCACGTTCTCAAAACTAGCTATAACAATAGGTTAGGTAGATACCTATTAAAGAATATATGATGGTTTTCTAGGAAAAATAAGTAATTAGGTACCTAATTTGTGTTATTTTCTCACAACATTATGAAAAATAGTAATTAGTACTTGCACTATTGAACGTTGTTTTTTTTTTCCCAATTTGGAAAAGAAAACTTTATACTTTATTGACCATAGGTGTCTATGTAATGATTTTCAAAACTTATCTCCTGAATTGACGCCGATCCTTGATTTGCTTAGATCATCCTCTACTTTCAGGATTGGAAGGTAAAAAGGCTGGATTGGACTAACAACCATCTAGAAACTGTCAGAACAACAAAAAACAGAGTTTTTTGTTGTTAAACTATTACGTTGACGTCTTGGACTAATCTATATACCATTTCCAGCATTATTTCACAATAGTGAAATTTATTGATTTCAAATTAATGAAAACTAATAAATTCACATCAGTAAAATCTAATTTCGCTCAAATGAAAATTGATTTAAAAGTAACGAAAAGTAATTTCTCACAAACGAAATTTGATTTCACATTTTTGAAAATGAATTTCAAACTGACCCTAATTAATACTCATGTTTCAAACATTTATAATTTCAATTTAAAAAAAAAACATCAACAACGTTATTTATTTCAACCTAATGAAATAAACCCACTGAGTTTAGATAACATAAAATATAATCATGAAACAACAATAACAATTATGAATTATTTAAATAGATTAAACTTCAGTTTGGCAAATCACGTGGAAAGGTATAATGCATCAGCTATCTCAAGAGTGAGAAGACTCAACTGAAGTTCAATTTATTTGAATAATTTATAATTATTGTTGTTTTATGATTGCATTTTATGTTATGTGAACTCAGTGGGTTTATTCCATTAGGGTGAAATAAATAACATTTGTTGATGTTTTTTCAAATTAAAATAGTAAATGTTTGAAAAATGAGTAGGTAGGTATTAATCAGTTTGAAATTCATTTTCAAAAATGTGAAATAAAATTTCGTTTGTGAGAAATTAGTTTCCGTTACTTTGAAATAAATTTTCATTTGAGCGAAATTGGATTTCACTGATGTGAATTTAGTTTTCACTAATTTCAAATCAAATTTCACTAGTGTGAAATAATGCTGGAAATGGTATAGAACTATTGGCATTCTTCTCTTCTTCTTCGAAGCTTGAGAAATTAAAACTCATAAAAAACATCTACCTGTCTTTAGTGATAATATTCTAACTCGTCAATTATTCTCAAAAAGTAACAACTTAATATACTATTGATGAAAAATTTAATATGTAATTACCATCACATTGGACCAATAAAACAGCACAAAGCGCACTTAAAACTATGAAAGTCGTCTTCATTTTTGCATACAAAACAGGTCACAGGCTTGAGAAAAATATGCCACAACAAAAATGAGTACTTATTTTTATCAACAACTGGATTTAATATATGATAAAATTTAATATTTGCTATCTGATTAGAACTCGAGATAAAAGTCGATTGTATTACAACTTTTATAATTTGAACCGCGTCGTGCGTCTACATTGTGGAACGTAAATGTATACTCATCGAGAGTCCATAGCTCGCTAAAGTAACCATCATTTCAGGTGACGACCACATGCGGTTTCTTTCTCTTTACTGATTAATGTGTAGTAGTAGGAATATTCAGCATTGAGTCATAGGATTTAACTCGATTAGATGATGACTGATAAACCTGATTTTAGTAGAAATTCGCTAGTTTTCCGCGTACAGAAAAAAACTATTGAATTTTCACAGTTTAACAACTAATTATTAAGAAGGTTTGTCTATTAAATAAAAATGTCAGCTCAAATTTTGCTTGAAGGTGCGTAAACATAAAAGCCAAGGGTATGTAATAGGAGGAGTACGTATCAAGTATCATGTAACTTGTCATTACTTACGAGAGAAAAAACTAAAATGGCTAGTTAATTTCAAGAACGATTTCTTCCTATTAACCAGATTAACCAGAAGTGATAATTCAATTAATTTAATGCAGATTAGTTATTTATTTTACTAGGCAGAAAAGCACAAGAGGCTAGGAAAGGTTTCTTGCATGTATTTTTTTTATTTGCTTATTGGAAAGAGGAGTCAAAATTAGGCTCAATTATATTTTTTTTCCGATTTTTTTCGGACTTGAAAAGGCTCTAAATTTCGCTTTGAAGTTCAAATTTCTTGGTACCGTGACGTCACGGCACCAAATTTCTGATTGGTCAGTTTTAGCCAGTGTTGCCCAGATGATATGGTTTTCATGTAAGCTTTTCCTGACGGGGACAACTAAAACGATATATCATATCGAATCCACAGATTTGTAAGTATCGGACGGAATATATGGAATCGATTCTCATTCCTATGAGAAACTTAACCCAACTTTTTAATTCATTACAATCATTATTTATTTTTATTTAGTAGCCTGTCCAAAACTCCAAAACAGGCATCAGAAGGCAGTGAAGGCACACAAACCATCAAGAAACAAACCAACCCCGAGCATAAGGCCATTATGTCGTTGATAATAAATATCTACTCATTTTCTAGTGTGTGTGTCATTTTTAGAAGTTTCTACCCAATAAGCATATAAGGGAATCATTGTTTGGGGAAGGTTGCTCTACCTGCATTTTACTAATACCTATCTACCTACCTGTACCTATACCTACCCTTCATGTGAATTTTTTTCCGAAAGCATATCCATGCTCACCTCTGGCCTCTGGCCAGTTTCCGGAATCGGCTTTTACAAACGCTTTTTCGTCCTTTATCACAAACAAAATAATAATTACCTAACTAATCAAATTATTGTTATTTTTCTTTTAAGTGGTTTATGAGAAATAAAACACGAGTATAAGTTTTATGTGTCTGTATTCCATACCTACCAGTTTCACTAACTTTTCACATTTTCACAGGTAAAAACATCCTTTTTCTTTTTTTCTTAAAATTACACTGCCGCAGCCTGCTGTTTTTTGTTGTTAATTATTGTTTATTTTGTTTGTGATGGAATATGGAATGGAGAAAGAGTTTGTAAAAGCCGAGATAAGTAGGTAAATTGGCCAGGGGTCACTGACCTTCTGACCTAATAGTAAACAAAAATCCCTTTTATCGTTTTCGTACTTTATACTGTGCCGGAGTAGTACAGATACCGATTTCTTTGTCTAATTCGCATTTAGACAAGGAAAGAAAATTGATACTTGTTGATACTTCAATACATGTCATTCTTCTTTCTCAATTCAAAAGTAGGGCTGTACGAAAGTCGATACACAATGCGATTTTGATATACAGTGTGATTTTTTAAGTGTGCAACATATGGGAATTTTTTTAGTAATAGCACAACCCAAATACAAACAAGGCCAAAAGTTGGTGCATGTTTGATAATCATATTAGGTGCACTTAGAATGATTGCAAGTCAAACAGCATACAGGGTAGCTCAAACAATATCAAAGCGGTACTGTAAAATAACCTTATTTTAGAAAATTCAGCAAAATGTTATAGAGATAAGTTGTTTGGAATTAAAAGTTATGCCTAAATACCAAAATTTAGCTTCCTAGGATTTTTTTTATTTTCTTTCGAAAAAAATCTATAATTTCTATATATTTTCTATTTTTTATTTCTGCCCTTAATACTTTCAAAAATTAATCAATACCAAATCAATTTTACATAACTTTGTTCAAATTCAAGCATATTTGTAAAATTAACTTAGATTTTTAATTTTTTATGGAATCACAAAATTCATGTTTGTTGCAATGATATTCAATACAACTTTAAAATGTCGCAATTTTTTTTTAACAAGTTAAAACATTACTAATGATAATAGCCATATTGAAAAAACTCTCCTTGAAGTGCCAAATTTTTATTTCATTTAAGTAAATATTACTACAATTTTGATATTTTTTGAGCTACCCTGTATGCTGTTTGACTTGCAATCATTCTAAGTGCACCTTATATGATCATCAGACATGCACCAACTTTTGGCCTTGTTTGTATTTTGATTGTGCAATTACTAAAAAAAAATCCCATATGTTGCACACTTAAGTGATGACACTGTATATATGCCTCCTTTTTTGTTCGATGTGTTAAAAAAAAAAGATTCGTTTGGAACATCGAAGATGGCCGACTTAGTGACAGAAGAAAATTTAGCTCCTAAAAAAATCGAGAAAAAGGTGGTAATTAAATGCCATCATTGCAAGAAAAGTGTTGTGGATGTAGTGAAATGTAAAAAGTGCATTAATTGTTTTCATCCGGCCTGTTTACTGCAGGCATCAAAGCAGAAAAACGCCGAGTGTATCCACGAATCCGACAAGGTTAGAAAACAGAGCACAATTGTCAACAGTGATGAGAATGCAGAAGTAGACCTTTTAAGGGTACTAGTGAAAGAATTACAGAGTAAGAACCAAATTCTGCAAGAAAACACCCAATTACTCAGAGAGAAAATAGTCTTTCTTGAGCAAAAAATAGAAAATTCCATTATAAAAGAAGACCAAAACATTCACCCTGCGCCATCTAGCAACGCCAGCATCCATAATTCGAAGAAAATAAAGAATACCAAGACCGCGCCATCTAGCGCTGTAGAAGGGAAAGTGGAAAGTACGGCACAAGATGTCAATATTCCCAAAAATCCAATAGAAGTGGCAGTTATCGATAATACCGATCTGCTCATCCAACAAAACGAAAAGCAATCAATGACAGCTGAAGGCTTGCGCAATTCCAATGTTGACGAAAATCAGGATGACTGGGTTGAGGTTAGATCGAAAAACAAAAACAAAAACAAAAAGTCGATCTTCCAAACAAACCGCCCGGAGCCACTCAAAGGGCAAAATGAAAATGCGACCAATCTAAAAACAGCGACAAGAGTGACGTTCCTGTTCCTGTCTGGAACTGCACCAGAGGTAACCTGCGAAGACGTTATGAATTTTCTCAAAGAAAACAACTTACTTGTTGCTGGCTGCCGATGTGAGAAAATGAAAACAAAAAAGCAAAAATACTGCAGCTCCTTCCGGCTAGCAGTTCCGCAGACGGATGTTAATAAATATCTGACACCTAGCCTGTGGCCCACAGGATCAGTTATTAACCATTTTCGGAACATCCAGAGCCAAAACCAGGTAACAGCAGTCCATCCAAGCGGAAGATAAAAATCCTCCATATTAATGTACGTTCTCTGAGAAGGAAGGTGGATGAAATGGAAGCTTTTATCGCAGACAAGGACATAGATATCATTTGTCTGACAGAACATTGGTTAACCAAAGACGAGATGCAGGCGACCAAAATACAGGGCTACTCACTCAGAAGCTACTCCTCAAGAGGTGAGTCAGTTGGAGCCGGCACTGCCGTATTTACCAGAGACTTTTTAGTCGCAAATGACGTAAATATAAGCTTTAATATTGAGAAATGTATAGAATCATGTTGTGTATATGTTGACAGCCTAAATGTATTTATTTTAAGTGTTTATAGGTCTCCCTCGGGATGTCTTGACACTTTCACAGGGGTACTTGAGGACCTACTTACAAAACTAGGTTCCTCAAAACAAGTGGTAATAGCGGGGGACTTCAATGTCCATTTTAATACTTCTGAGGCTGCTTGTGTGAGACTTGTTGACCTTTTTGGGGGCTTCGGTTTGGTGCAGACAATCTATGGACCCACTCGTGAAGGTTCCTGCCTAGACAATTTGTTCGTCAGTTCGGGAATCGAGATATGCTGTGCTAGGATTGTTGACTTGGTATTTTCAGATCATCGGGGTCAGATCTTGGAGCTCTCAATAGAAGATACCTCAAAAGTTCGCGAAAAAAAAAAGGTGTGCCGGCCTATTACTCAGCAAGGCCTGTTTGCATTCCATGAGTTGTTGGGTGCTGAGTCCTGGGACTTTGTCACCATGGAGGGCACGGACACAAACGAGAAATTTAATAAATTCATGTATATCTTGGAGCAGGCCTACCTGCACTCATTTCCTGAAAAGTCCTATAAAGTCAGATCTGACCAGGGAAATAATATTTCCTGGTTCAGTGAGGAGCTGAGGGCAATGCGGGAACGACTGATGTTTCTGAGAGATCTGAGTCGGCAGTACGGTCATGGGAGTATTCAAGATTATAAGAACTACAAAACCGTTTATAAAAAGGCAATCAGACAAGCTAAAATGCAGTCTAATGACAATCTGATACATAACTCTAACAATCCAACTAAAACCATCTGGCAAATAATTAACGCGCAAAGGGGAAAACCGGAGAAATCGACAGACGTCACTAACTTGTCACCAAACGACTTCAATAACTTTTTCTCTAGCATTGCTGAGAATGTAGTTGGGGGCATTCCAAAAGTAGATAATCCACCAAACTCATATCTAGCTAGACTTGATCCACCTCAGGTCTCTTTTATTTTCTCACAAGTAACATATCACGAAGTGCGC